TACGCCCCCCCCCCCCGCCCCCCCAATATCCCCCCTGGAACACGTACCCACCAGCTTGTCGGCCACGAGCGCCCCTGTCCCCAATCGTGTCCTTGTTCATCTAAGCAGACTCGAGTGCAACTTGTTCTTCGACACCCTTAGCCCGTGCATGCATGCAAGATGCTTCGTTTAGTCGCTGCGAGAACACTTGCTATAAAAAACAAGGGCCCAACAAGAGTTCCGCCACCCGTATTTTGTGCTCGTGCTAATCATTTGCTCGTGTTCCCCACCACCACAAAACGCGAGAGAAACGGTGCGAGAAAGAACAACGGCAAAAGCTGGGGATTGGCATACATACCTTCCCGGCCCCCTTGGCTCTGGTTCAATGGACGAGCCTTCGTCCCACAACTGCACGAGGCAAACCCTAGTTGCCATAGGCTTGCTTCGACTCTCCGGTTCCCCAACAATACAACACACAATCTGGGTAAAACGCCTTACTACACGCTGAACGAACTCCCCCTCTCGTGTAGTCTTCTGCACTATGTAGTATGCAAGATAGATGGGTACCACGTGCTTGCCCGCCATAGGCTAAGACATGAGCAGCAGCTGGTCCAACAAGTTCCAGTAGTGGAGCTTGTGCTTCCCGATCACCTTCACCAGCACTTTCTCAACCTGTCGTTCGTGTGTCGTCGAGAAAAAGACGTTCAGTAAATTCACAAGTCAGTTGTTGGGGAGGGATATGTCTCAAGGTACGGACATGACGACAGTGGTGAGGATTGGGCGTACGAAGACAAAGTGGTCCTGATCCATCCATCCACCCACATCGTCTTCCTCGTTTCCGTCGTACTCGACCCCGTCCAAGGTGACCATGCAGTCGCCCTCTTGCATCTTCTTGAGCAGATCCAGGGCCTTGGCGAACTTCGCTTCCCCCAGCCCGTCCGAGCACTTCTTGGTGATGAACTGTGGGTGTGCAAGACAAAAACATGTACTACGCAGACTGAGAGTCGTTGCAAAGAGTGGATTGACTTGGCGATGAGCTCCTGAATGCAATAGTCTGTGAATAGCTCCTGAATGCAATAGTCTGTGAATAGTCCTGCGGTTTCTAGCGTTTCAAGTTGATACGCTTGGAATGGACTAGGGTTTTTGGACGATGCTCATCGGCTGGCACGTGGGTGCAGTTCTATTCACCGTTTGGTGGTGACGGTTGCTGAGCGCTCCGGCGTCCCGTTTTACGGCGGCGGTGGCACGGTGGGGGGATGAGTGTATAGGTGTTGTGCACTTGGGGTGGTGCAACAGTTTTTCGGCAGGTGCCCAGCAACAACCACCGCTGCCGCCGCCACCACCACCACCATCCATGTAACAAGCCCTGTCGACAGCACCGACCCCACCGCAGGCTTGTTTCGGGCCTCCTTCGGTTTCAATCTTGAGGCAATTAAGGCCCAACCGGCGACGGGGGGGCTTTGCGTCCTTCGGTCCTCCGAGGGGTTCCATTATTTTCCCCCTGACACGGACGTGCTTGTGCCGGCCAGAGGTTCAGTGTCCGTCGATGCTAACCAAACAATCGAGTTTTGTGCGCCGTCACATGTTTGTTCAAGTATATGCATAACTGCTACTTCGCACGAAAGACGAAATTTGGTACACATTGGTGCATGTATGTATACCGAACCCCAAAAGCTGGACTTGGTACACGTTGACGTATGCCGAAAGACTATAGTGCTCATGCATATAGAGACACACTGTAACACGTTCGTTTGACACACCTGCACCCTGTCGACGAGGTTGCCCACGGGGGTTGGGGCGTCGTGTATCTCCTCGAGGTGGCTCTGGCAGTACGGCACGGGCTCGTCCTCGAAGTCGGAAGCCCTATCCTCGTCCCCTGATGGAACAAAAAATAAAATCGCTTGAAAAGTACCGGATGGCATGCAGTACCATCAGGATGCACCAATCACCACAATTGTGGTCACGTTCTGACACGCGACGCATTCGAACAGGTGTCTCTCTACCGTGTTGAACTTCTAGGTGGACCGACGACCCGTGCGGCTTGCTTCCCTCACCTGAGCAGTTGGACACTGAGCGGCTGTATCTCTGTGCGGAGCCCCCGCCGCCGGGGGATAGGCTCCCCCTGGTCGAAGGGTTTACCTGCAGCACAGCGGTATCGAACGGGGTGAGGTGGGTGGAGGGGAAGGGTCGCCATTTGCTGTTCAAACCCTTTTGCTGCTGTAGAGTTTGTTTTTTTCCGGTGTGTATTTTCCTGACGTTTTCAATGACCTGGGCCTTCTTTCTTCGTACGTCATCCACCCAACAACGGCTAAGGGAGGGAACTTCCGTGTGGCGCCTAGACAATGCAGGCATGAATTGGTCTTCTTCGGTAGCCACAGTTGGTGTCAGGGGGAGCCCCGTGATAGAGGGATTCGCCTGCACGGCGGAGTAGGGGGGGGCGGGGGGGAGTTTGTGTATCATTATGTTCTTGATTGAGACTTGACAGAGAGACAACAACGCTAGTCATGGCCAGAATCCCCCGAAAGACGTGCGAAGAGGCCTCCACGATACCTTGACATGTTGTTGGGGGTGCGGAGCTGAGCATCGATCAGGGGGGGGGGGGGGGGGCCCCCCCGGGGAAAATTTTGCAGGGGAACCGGGGTTCAAAACCCCCCAAAAAGGGGGGGGGGCCGGGAAAAGGAACCCCCCCCTTGGGAAGGG